GCTGCTTTAACACAGTTAAGGAACGAACAGATGTCTTCGAGGGGCCAGTCCGAGGTTTGGCAGACGGTAACTGGACACCGTCACCAGCCTTGAAACGCTGCACCCAGTTTCTCACTAAATGCTCTCACACACCAACATTCTCCACTATGTCTTTCGTCTGGTGACCAGGTTTGTGAAGCCCTATGATTTGAGCTATAGTTTCAGGTATTAAAGACTTCCTTTTACCCATAATCAAACACGTATAGCCCCAAAACCAAAAGGAACACCAGACAGAAGATTTGGCAGATGAAAGACAAAAGTGCAACACTTCCTCTCACCATGGCAGCCACGTGAGCACTGAGAAGTCACTGTGGAGTGTGGCGGCAGGCCGTGACGTCATGCTAACGGCTGCTACCAGGCATAATGCACTGACGAAAAAAGACTACCTGTATGGTAGGCCTTTGATTTTCGTCGCGGCATTATGCCGGAACGCTCACCCAGCATTATACCAGGGCGCTCACCCGGCATAATGCCATAACTAACAGTGTGTGTGTGTGTGTGTGTGTGTGTGTGTGTGTGTGGTGCCGAAGAGGTCAAATTGATCAATTAGCAAGAACTGGTTTAAAATTAAGTTTTTCTAAAATTTTCTCTTATACGTTTAAAGATATATTTTTTTTATGTTAATGTAAAAATTAATAATTTTGTACTAAAAGAACTTTAGAAAACTTACCTAACCTTATAGCAAGCGCAATTTAATTTAGCCTAATCCAGCTAAATATATTTTAGATAAGTTTACAATAATTTAATTAAACACAATGAAATATATTTTTTCGTTAGGTTCAGAATGATGTTTGCGAAATTATTGCATACACAAATTTTTGCTTTACTTATTCGGCAAGAAGAGCATTGCTGTTTTAGCCAAAATCGCAAGTTTTACCTATTCAGCACGACATTATATGTAATATATTCAGACAGCTCCAGGGAGAACATTGTTTTCCCTGAAGTAAATTTATTCTTTTCTCTGAGGATGATGGTCCCAGCATAGTTCAGTGGGGGTACCTCACTATATTTTTTTATCATATAAATATTAACATAGGGAGGTACCACCTCTGGAACTGTGCTGAGAACAGTCATTCTCATATATATACCTGGAGTATACCTGGAGAGGGCTTGGGGGGTCAACGCCCCCGCAGCTCGGTCTGTGACCAGGCCGCACGAACCACAGCCCGGCTGGTCAGGTACTGACTTTAGGTGCCTGTCTAGTGCCTTCTTGAAGACATCCAGGGGTTTATTGGTAATCCCCCTTATGTATGCTGGGAGGCAGTTGAACAGTCTTGGGCCCCGGAAACTTCTTGTGTTTTCTCTCTGTACTCGTGGCGCCCCTGCTTTTCATTGGGGGAATGTTGCATCTCCTGCAGAGTCTTTTGCTTTCATAGGGAGTGATTTTCGTGTGCAAGTTTGGTACTAATCCCTCTAGGATTTTCCAAGTGTATATTATGAATCTCTGTCGTCTGCGTTCCATGGAATACAAATCAAGGTACTTCAACCGTTCCCAGTAATTGAGGTGCCTTATCGTACTTACGTGTGCCGTGAAAGTTCTTTGTACACTCTCCAGGTCAGCAATTTCGCCTACCTTGAAGGGGGCAGCTAGTGTACACTGTTAATGCTGTTATTACTCGCAGGTTACCAGAAGGGGTAGCGTAGGTTGCAGCGATATGGCCATAGACTAGGTTTGACTGTTAATCGACATGTAGGTGCAACATGGGCAGAGTGATTGAATGACCGATAGCCAGTCTATGAAGAGGAGGTTGTTGAACCCGTGATGGTAGGCCGAGGAGTGAGGACGGATGGGCTCCGCGTCTTACTGACCTGGGCAGGCCTAAAGAGGGCAGCACCGTAGTGCCACGGGATATGAATCTAGCAGACAGCATAGGCTGTGTAGGAGATGGTACAGGCTGTTTACATACAGCAGTATTCCAGCCTAGAGAGAAATGATTTGAAGAGAATCATCATGGGTTTGGCGTCCCTAGTTTTGAAGGTTCTCATTATCCGTCCAATCATTTTCCTCGCAGATGCGGTAGATACATTGTTGTGGTCTTTGAAGGTGAGATCCTCTGACATTATCACTCCCAGGTCCTTCACATTACTTTTTTCGCTCAAGTTTTCCATATCTGAGTAGTTGAAATTTCTCTTCATTGATCTTCATATTGTTTTGAGTGGCCCATTTGAAGATTTGGTTGATTTCCGCTTGGAGTCTTGCCGTGTCTTCGATGGAGGTCACTGTAATGGCAATTCGAGTGTCATCCGTAAAGGAAGATACGGAGCTATGGCTTACATCACTGTCTGTCAGATATGAGGATGAGGAATAGAATGGGAGTGAGTACTATGCCTTGTGGAACAGAGCTTTTACCGTGGCTGCCTCAGACTTTACTCTGTTTACTATTACTCTTTGTGTTCTATTTGTCAGGAAGTTATAGATCCATCTACCAACTTTTCCTGTTATTCCTTTATCGCGCATTTTGTGTGCTATTACACCATGGTCACACTTGTCGAAAGGTTTTGCAAAGTCTGTGTATACTGCATCTCCATTTTTGTTTATCCTCCACAGCATCCAGGACCTTGTCATAGTGGTCCAGTAGCTGGGACAGGCAGGAGCGACCTGTTCTAAACCTGTGTTGCCCTGGGTTGTGTAACTGATGGGTATCTAGATGGGTGGCGATCTTGCTTCTTAGAACCCTTTCAAATATTTTTATGATTTGGGATGTTAGTGCTATCGGTCTGTAGTTCTTTGCTATTGCTTTTCTGCACCGTTGTAGAGTGGGGCTATGTCTGTTGTTTTTAGTGAGTGCGGGATGACCTCTGTGTCCATGTTCCCTCCATAAAATGCTGAAGACACGTGACAGGGGCTTCTTGCAGTTCTTAATGAACATCGAGTTACAGGAGTCTGGGCCTAGGGCAGAGTGCATGGGCATGTCATTATATATATATATATATATATATATATATATATATATATATATATATATATATATATATATATATATATATATATGCAAAACAACCACTCTGAAAGAATAGAGAAATTCCAAGCGCTTTCGTGATTACTCACATTATCAAGGAACTATGAAAGTAAAGCATCCAAGAAAGCTATATAAGGGGTCTGGCCAGCACCTCACTATCAGATCCCACAACAATTAAACACCTGACGCGAGCCGACCCAACTTGGATAGGTCCTTTGCACAACTCACCCACAAACTATTCTACCCAGGAAAATTTAAAAATTATTATTTGTCCAGTGTATTATTAAATTCTCCCCAAATTCTATTAATTATAAATGGATCTAATTTATATAAACCAAAGGAAATATTCATATTATTGTCAAAACTGCTTTTTTATGAAACAAGGTTCAATTATATTCCTGTCGACCATGGACTTGCTTGATACTACTATCTCAACTTTTTGAAAATCAATTGGATGGTTAAAATCTCTTACATGAATAAATAGAGCATTGGAATCTTGTCCAGTTCTAATGCTATATTTATGTTGTTTTAATCTTAGTTCGAGATTTTTACCAGTTTGACCGTAATAAACTTTATCGCAAATTTTACAAGGAATCTTATAGACACATCCATCAGCATTTTGGGGGGAATTCTTTATCAAAAGTTTTTTTTACTGTATCAAGATTTTTGAATACAACTTTAATATTAAAAGTCTTAAGAAGAGAAGGCATATCAACCAAGTTTTCATGGTAAGAGAGAACCAACTTATTTTTAGTTGAATAAGGCTGGTTGTCCCTTTTTGGATTGTAAAAAGTATTTCTAGCAACTTTAAAAGATTTATCAATTACATTTCTTAGGTATTTTAAATCATTACCTATTTCATAAATTTTGGATATTTCCTCATCTATGAAATATCCAAAATTTATGAAATAGGTAATGATTTAAAATACCCAAGAAATGTAATTGATAAATCTTTTAAAGTTGCTAGAAATACTTTTTACAATCCAAAAAGGGACAACCAGCCTTATTCAACTAAAAATAAGTTGGTTCTCTCTTACCATGAAAACTTGGTTGATATGCCTTCTCTTCTTAAGACTTTTAATATTAAAGTTGTATTCAAAAATCTTGATACAGTAAAAAAAACTTTTGATAAAGAATTCCCCCCAAAATGCTGATGGATGTGTCTATAAGATTCCTTGTAAAATTTGCGATAAAGTTTATTACGGTTAAACTGGTAAAAATCTCGAACTAAGATTAAAACAACATAAATATAGCATTAGAACTGGACAAGATTCCAATGCTCTATTTATTCATGTAAGAGATTTTAACCATCCAATTGATTTTCAAAAAGTTGAGAAAGTAGTATCAAGCAAGTCCATGGTCGACAGGAATATAATTGAATCTTGTTTCATAAAAAGCAGTTTTGACAATAATATGAATATTTCCTTTAATTTATATAAATTAGATCCATTTATAATTAATAGAATTTGGGAAGAATTTAATAATACACTGGACAAATAATAATTTTTAAATTTTCTTGGGTAGAATAGTTTGTGGGTGAGTTGTGCAAAGGACCTATCCAAGTTGGGTCGGCTCGCGTCAGGTGTTTAATTGTTGTGGGATCTGATAGTGAGGTGTTGGCCAGACCCCTTATATAGCTTCCTTGGATGCTTTACTTTCATAGTTCCTTGATAATGTGAGTAGTCACGAAAGCGCTTGGAATTTCTCTATTCTTTCAGAGTGGTTGTTTTGCATATTCTGAAAAAACCTGTTTACTGTGATCTTATTGCATATATATAATATATATATATATATATATATATATATATATATATATATATATATATATATATATATATATATATATATATATATATATAATTATTTATTTATATTTTGTCTGTTGTAGAATTATACAATTGTATGCAATTAGGAACTATGTGCCCTGTTGGCTTTCATTATCCATGGTTTATGTCACGTGTATAATGTGATGATTTTCTTGTAACTGTGTGTGTGTTGCAGTGCGCTGGTGGAGTGCGTGGTGGTGCCGCTACAGGAGAAGGTGGAGGAGTGGAGACGATCACAACACACTTTCGACAAGGAGCACACTAAAGGTAATGACTTAGTTTCTCACTCCGACACCAGGAGCACACACTCTTACACCAGGAGCGCACACTCTTACACCAGGAGCACACTCCTACACCAGGAGCACACACTCTTACACCAGGAGCACACACTCTTACACCAGGAGCACACACTCCTACACCAGGAGCACACACTCTTACACCAGGAGCAAACACTCCTACACCAGGAGCACACACTCTTACACCAGGAGCACACACTCCTACACCAGGAGCACACACTCTTACACCAGGAGCACACACTCCTACACCAGGAGCACACACTCCTACACCAGGAGCACACACTCCTACACCAGGAGCACACACTCTTACACCAGGAGCACACACTCTTACACCAGGAGCACACACTCCTACACCAGGAGCACACACTCCTACACCAGGAGCACACTCCTACACCAGGAGCACACACTCCTACACCAGGAGCACACTCCTACACCAGGAGCACACACTCCTACACCAGGAGCACACTCCTACACCAGGAGCACACTCCTACACCAGGAGCACACACTCCTACACCAGGAGCACACTCCTACACCAGGAGCACACTCCTACACCAGGAGCACACACTCCTACACCAGGAGCACACTCCGACACCAGGAGCACACTCCTACACCAGGAGCACACTCCTACACCAGGAGCACACTCCGACACCAGGAGCACACTCCGACACCAGGAGCACACTCCTACACCAGGAGCACACTCCGACACCAGGAGCACACTCCTACACCAGGAGCACACACTCCTACACCAGGAGCACACACTCCTACACCAGGAGCACACACTCCTACACCAGGAGCACACACTCCTACACCAGGAGCACACACTCCTACACCAGGAGCACACACTCCTACACCAGGAGCACACACTCCTACACCAGGAGCACACACTCCTACACCAGGAGCACACACTCCTACACCAGGAGCACACACTCCTACACCAGGAGCACACACTCCTACACCAGGAGCACACTCCTACACCAGGAGCACACTCCTACACCAGGAGCACACTCCTACACCAGGAGCACACACTCCTACACCAGGAGCACACACTCCTACACCAGGAGCACACACTCCTACACCAGGAGCACACTCCTACACCAGGAGCACACACTCCTACACCAGGAGCACACACTCCTACACCAGGAGCACACACTCCTACACCAGGAGCACACACTCCTACACCAGGAGCACACACTCCTACACCAGGAGCACACACTCCTACACCAGGAGCACACACTCCTACACCAGGAGCACACACTCCTACACCAGGAGCACACACTCTACACCAGGAGCACACACTCCTACACCAGGAGCACACACTACTACACCAGGAGCACACACTCCTACACCAGGAGCACACACTCCTACACCAGGAGCACACACTCCTACACCAGGAGCACACACTCCTACACCAGGAGCACACACTTCTACACCAGGAGCACACACTTCTACACCAGGAACACACACTCCTACACCAGGAGCACACACTCCTACACCAGGAGCACACACTCCTACACCAGGAGCACACACTTCTACACCAGGAGCACACACTCTTACACCAGGAGCACACACTCCTACACCAGGAGCACACACTCCTACACCAGGAGCACACACTCCTACACCAGGAGCACACATCCTACACCAGGACACACACTCCTACACCAGGAGCACACTCCTACACAGGAGCACACTCCTACACCAGGAGCACACACTCCTACACCAGGAGCACACTCCTACACCAGGAGCACACACTCCTACACCAGGAGCACACACTCCTACACCAGGAGCACACACTCCTACACCAGGAGCACACACCCCTACACCAGGAGCACACACTCCTACACCAGGAGCACACTCCTACACCAGGAGCACACTCCTACACCAGGAGCACACACTCCTACACCAGGAGCACACTCCTACACCAGGAGCACACTCCTACACCAGGAACACACACTCCTACACCAGGAGCACACACTCCTACACCAGGAAGCACACTCCTACAACCAGGAGCACACTCCTACACAGGAGCACACTCCTACACCAGGAGCACACACTCCTACACCAGGAGCACACACTCCTACACCAGGAGCACACTCCTACACCAGGAGCACACTCCTACACCAGGAGCACACACCTACACCAGGAGCACACACTCCTACACCAGGAGCACACACTCCTACACCAGGAGCACACACTCCTACACCAGGAGCACACACTCCTACACCAGGAGCACACACTCCTACACCAGGAGCACACACTCCTACACCAGAGCACACTCCTACACCAGGAGCACACTCCTACACCAGAGCACACACTCCTACACCAGGAGCACACTTCTACACCAGGAGCACACTCCTACACCAGGAGCACACACTCCTACACCAGGAACACACACTCTACACCCAGGCACACACACTACTACACCAGGAACACACACTCCTACACCAGGAGCACACTCCTACACCAGGAGCACACACTCCTACACCAGGAGCACACTTCTACACCAGGAGCACACTCCTACACCAGGAGCACACACTCCTACACCAGGAACACACACTCCTACACCAGGAGCACACACTCCTACACCAGGAGCACACTCCTACACCAGGAGCACACACTCCTACACCAGAGCACACCCTACACCAGGAGCACACACTCCTACACCAGGAGCACACACTCCTACACCAGGAGCACACACTCCTACACCAGGAGCCACACTTCTACACCAGGAGCACACTCCTACACCAGGAGCACACACTCCTACACCAGGAACACACACTCCTACACCAGGAGCACACACTACTACACCAGGAACACACACTCCTACACCAGGAGCACACTCCTACACCAGGAGCACACACTCCTACACCAGGAGCACACTTCTACACCAGGAGCACACTCCTACACCAGGAGCACACACTCCTACACCAGGAGCACACACTCCTACACCAGGAGCACACTCCTACACCAGGAGCACACTCCTACACCAGGAGCACACTCCTACACCAGGAGCACACACCTACACCAGGAGCACACTCCTACACCAGGAGCACACACTCCTACACCAGGAGCACACACTCCTACACCAGGAGCACACACTCCTACACCAGGAGCACACACTCCTACACCAGGAGCACACACTCCTACACCAGGAGCACACACTCCTACACCAGGAGCACACACTCCTACACCAGGAGCACACTCCTACACCAGGAGCACACTCCTACACCAGGAGCACACACTCCTACACCAGGAGCACACACTCCTACACCAGGAGCACACACTCCTACACCAGGAGCACACACTCCTACACCAGGAGCACACTCCTACACCAGGAGCACACTCCTACACCAGGACACACACTCCTACACCAGGAGCACACACTCCTACACCAGGAGCACACTCCTACACCAGGAGCACACTCCTACACCAGGAGCACACTCCTACACCAGGAGCACACTCCTACACCAGGAGCACACACTCCTACACCAGGAGCACACACTCCTACACCAGGAGCACACTCCTACACCAGGAGCACACACTCCTACACCAGGAGCACACTCCTACACCAGGAGCACACTCCTACACCAGGAGCACACTCCTACACCAGGAGCACACTCCTACACCAGGAGCACACTCCTACACCAGGAACACACTCCTACACCAGGAACACACTCCTACACCAGGAGAACACACTCCTACACCAGGAGCACACACTCCTACACCAGGAGCACACACTCCTACACCAGGAGCACACACTCCTACACCAGGAGCACACTCCTACACCAGGAGCACACTCCTACACCAGGAGCACACACTCCTACACCAGGAGCACACACTCCTACACCAGGAGCACACTCCTACACCAGGAGCACACACTCCTACACCAGGAGCACACACTCCTACACCAGGAGCACACACTCCTACACCAGGAGCACACTCCTACACCAGGAGCACACACTCCTACACCAGGAGCACACTCCTACACCAGGAGCACACACTCCTACACCAGGAGCACACACTCCTACACCAGGACACACTCCTACACCAGGAGCACACTCCTACACCAGGAGCACACACTCCTACACCAGGAGCACACACTCCTACACCAGGAGCACACTCCTACACCAGGAGCACACTCCTACACCAGGAGCACACACTCCTACACCAGGAGCACACACTCCTACACCAGGAGCACACTCCTACACCAGGAGCACACACTCCTACACCAGGAGCACACTCCTACACCAGGAACACACTCCTACACCAGGAGCACACACTCCTACACCAGGAGCACACTCCTACACCAGGAGCACACTCCTACACCAGGAGCACACACTCCTACACCAGGAGCACACACTCCTACACCAGGAGCACACTCCTACACCAGGAGCACACTCCTACACCAGGAGCACACACTCCTACACCAGGAGCACACACTCCTACACCAGGAGCACACTCCTACACCAGGAGCACACTCCTACACCAGGAGCACACACTCCTACACCAGGAGCACACTCCTACACCAGGAGCACACTCCTACACCAGGAGCACACTCCTACACCAGGAGCACACACCTACACCAGGAGCACACTCCTACACCAGGAGCACACTCCTACACCAGGAGCACACGTGTTACACTACAGAACACAGTATATAACACTATTTCCCTTTAATATTAAAGACAGGAGTGTAAGCCGTGTCATTGTAGTGAAGTGAGATAGTATACACCAGTCTGTATGTGTAGACACTGTGGAAAGATAGTATACACCAGTCTGTATGTGTAGACACTGTGGAAAGATAGGATACACCAGTCTGTATGTGTAGACACTGTGGAAAGATAGTATACACCAGTCTGTATGTGTAGACACTGTGGAAAGATAGTATACACCAGTCTGTATGTGTAGACACTGTGGAAAGATAGTATACACCAGTCTGTATGTGTAGACACTGTGGAAAGATAGTATACACCAG